AAAATCGGTCTCCTTCTCATAATTCTCGAACATCGCAGACAGACTCGGAGAAGCAACCCTGTGCAAATCTTGCTCAGAAAAACAGTGATTCCTATCGTGACTCGCAAGCATTTCAGGGTCAACACCGGGTACAGCAGGTACGAAAACGTCAGACGCCTTAAAACCAAACGCAGACTCAAGAAAAGAATCAAACTTGCCTCGAGGGCACACACTTCGTGCCATGAAGAGACGAAGAGGGGCGTCGCCAGCAGGAGGTAGAACGTCGCCTGGATCTGGAGAGGGAGAGGAGGAGGAAGAGGCCGCCTGAGGCACGCCGTGGTACTGCTGCTCCTGCTGCTGCTCAAAACTCGCCTGCTGCTGCGGGAAGGGCGCCGGCTGCTCCGAGACGTAGAAGGCCTCGTTGTAGACTCTCGGCTGATACGCGTCAGGACCTGCAGCAGAAGGGCAGTATGTTACGTTGGCCTCCTGCTGCTGGTGCGGCCCGCCGTCTTCGGAAAAATAGCCGAAGCCAAATCCCCCGCCGGCGTTGCCGTAGGAACCGCCGCTGTGGTTCCCCCCGTGAGCCGCGAGCCCATACCCGTATCCCGCCTCGGAAGGTGATGGGGCCCAGCTTGGCGTGGGTGCCGGCGCCGACGTTTGCTGCCATCCCGAGCTGCTTTCGCCACCGAACGAATCTCCGCCCCCGATGGCCAGGTGAGCCGGAAAAAAGGGCCGCGGGACGCTGGCAAGCTGCCCTGCAGGTACGTTGGCCGGCGGGAAATTGCCCCCGCGGCCGCCGCCTTGCCCACGGCTTTCGTAGGGGCGAGGCCCGTAGCCGCCGTAGCCCCGTCCCCCATCGTTGCGCCCCTGCATCTGCCCCCCAGCTCCGGGTCCTGGCCCACGCGGCGGCCCCTGAGGCGCATGAGGGTGGCCCTGACTCCAGCCCGCACCGTGTTGGAATTGGTACGACTGCTGTACTGATGGACCACCAACCCGCCCCAGGTTCTGCGATCCGCCTCGTGGATGAGCGGCCGCCTCGGCGTCCCTCCTGCCGCTCAAGTACGCGCTGATCTCGTTGTAATTCGCCAGGAACTCGCTGCGCAACTTGTGACAGTCAGCGGTCGCGTGCGAGGTGTTGGGCCCGTGGTACTGGCAGATGTTACGGTCCCAGCTGCTGCTGCTGCTTCTGCTGCTGCTGCCGCTGCTGCTGCTGCGGTGGCTGCATCGACGCCTGTGGCTGCTGCTGCTGCTGCTGCTGCTGCGGTCCGCCGTGACCCATGCCGACAATGGCTGGTCTCCTCTGCCCGCCGCCCCGGCCCATGCCGGCAGCGACGAGGGCGTGCCTCGTCTCCTCTCCTCTCTCTCCAGACCTCCGCTCGTACCTCTGCTCGTGCTCAGCCGTCCTCAACGCCTCCTGCATTTGTGCACTCGACAACATGGGGTGAAAAAGGACACGCTCTTTAATTTTCTCAAATTCTGGCAAAAAACCCCGAGCGATGTGCTTGCACATGGACACTTCAGCACGATTATCACCGTATGACACCAGTCTCATCCAAAGCGCCTTAGCTCTACCAAAGTAGTCCATCAAACTTTCTCCATTCCTCTGACACAGCACATTCCACTGATCATCAAACGTCTGTCTTTCCTCGTTTTTACTGCGGTCGGTAGTAGTCCAAGAAAATTTTGTACCCGGCTTGCGGACTCTCCGCTGCGAGCAATTGCCCTTGAATAGATTGTGCCGTGATCTTCGACAGCATGAAAATCCATACCTTCCTAGACTGCTTTACTCTCTCCTCACCAAACGAACGTTTCATCCAATCCACATTCACTTGAGCTGCAGCTACAGGAATCTCTGGGCCTCTCATTGCGTCAACCACTCCCTCGTTCTCCATCCACGCTTCAAACGCACTCGTGAAAATCCGCAACGCAACCTCCATCGATCGATTTTTGAGGAAATCATCACTCCAAACAGGGACCTCGACTTTGTCCCGCTGTTTCAACTCTACTGTCTGGGCGCTAGACGTGCCTGAATGGGCACGATGCCCCTGGTCCTGGGAGTTTGCCGTGAAAGCATGCTTGAGAAGGTCGACCAGCTGACGCATCGAGTCTTGCTGATCTCCCCCCGCCGCCGCTCTCCCTCCCAGATTGTCTTGTTCTTCTGCATCGGCGGTGAACGAATAGTTGGTTCCTCCATCGCCGGTGCCTTCTCCCGGGGAAGGATCACCATGACCTTGTCCCCCCGGAGGCTGTCGTCCGTCTCCATCCGGCATCTTGCGCGCGTAGACACAGCGGCCACTCTCTTGATCGAAACGCTAGCGTGTTGAGTAGCTTTGTGCGTGGGTGCCTCGGCGCGGGGTCCCGTAGTGGGAAACAAAAGGTGCCAGCAGCTGGGTACTGCCAACGGTCAAAATGTAGAAACTATCCGCGGGCGTGAAAGCCCTTCTACGTGGTGGAGCGTGGAAGCTCGTGTATAATATAGTTGTGGCGTGGAAGCCGGGTGGCGTGGTGGCCCTGATGTAAAGGTATATTTAGGGACGTGGGAGTCCTGAAGGCGTGGAAGCCGGGTTGGCGTGATAGCCGGAGTATGGGCGTGGAAGCCGGGGTTGGCGTGAGAGCCGGAAAAAGGACTTGATTATACACAGAAAAAGGAAGTGAGGAACCACAAGCCACGCACACAAATTCCGTTGTAGACACCCATACCCTCAAACCTGCAATATGTGATAAAGTTGGTACCACCAAATCTAATCCATAGCAACCATTGACCCCCCAAACTCCCCGCTCCATCTGCTCGGGAAATTCTTGCTCGCAATAATCTGTTGATGCTGTGAGTACATCCAACATTGGCGTTTCATATTTTGAAAACTAAGAACTGAAAGGTTGTAATGCGTGCCACCGGGTTAATTATCAGTCATCATGGAGTCAGGAGGCGTTCGTAGGACAACGACAGCACTGGCCTCCGACGCCAACGTATCTGTGTCTCTTGATCCAGCCGAGAGCAACATCACACAGCTAAATATGCTGCCGAGGTACATATATACCTGTCAACGAATCCATACATGTCTCCCACTCTTTCTATGATAGAGATGGATTCGTTGTGTCGTGATTAAGAAAAAAAAAAAATCACGTGCTGCATCGTGTACGATCACATGCGGCGGAATATCAAAAATCTGAAACGCCCGAGCCTATTTTTCGAGCACGCGCGCACAGCGACCACTAAACGCACAAGCTCACTCGCACACACGCTCACAACCAAGCCCTTCCCTCATCGACATTCCCCCTGACAAGAATACCGTCCACGACAGTGCAGCAGCGGTCGCAAACACCGAGTAAGTCCGCTTTCTGCTGCTTCTCAAGTCTGTGGTAGGTCGACTCTGCGTTTATTTGCGTCGACTGCGGGAACCGTGAGCGTGTTACCTCGCACGCACTCTTGTAGCCCTTTCCTTTGCCGCACATATGCCCGGCGGCGAACGTAGACAAAGCCCTCGCTGTGTCTCCATGATCGGGTTCGTAGTCACGACGAGCACATGAGGTCCGTCCATTTCTCAGTCTGTCCTCACGATCTCCATGCGTTATGGTGTCCTGCACGCTCGGGGGTCGTGGTCGACGGCAGCAGCAGCAAAAAAAATTACATTGAGCGCACTCCGACGACGGCGTCTTCGGGTAGCTGATATTCCGTGCACATGTACATTACGAACGGTTGTTCTACTGCCTTCACCTCCTCTGCGCCTCAAACAATGTCGATATTATCCCGTGGAGCCTGTAGACACTCGTTGCATCCTGTGTTTTTTCTCGAGAATTCGAGATGCTGCGATAAAGTACACAGTTTGGACTTAGACGACATATAGTGGGTCACCCGACCGACGACGAATGTTTTCATGTATTTCATGTACCGTTACTGCCATACCCCCCACGGCAGCACCGCCAAACTCAGTACCTTTGGCAGCTGCGAACTTGGCTCTACCAGTGACGGCACTCGGTTTGCTCACGTCGATGATACCATGTCCCCATGATACGTAATTGTGGCCTGGGAACAGTAACTGGCTGTGGAATGATGAAGTAACGTAGTTTACGCACATGCAGTTGACACTGGGTAGACAAATGAGGGCCCGCATACGACCCAGCCAGTGTCGCTATGACCGCGGCGTCGACAGTCTCCAACTACCGCGGGCAAAGCCGACAGATCGACGTCCTGGTGGCGTCTACAGCAGACGTGTAGGTTTCGTACGACGCCCTGACAGCAAAATGAGAACGGGGTATCTCGAACGGGTTATCTCTCATTATGACGCTGTGTTTGACTACAAATGTGTGGCATGCCTTGACGGTTTCAAGTGTGATGGCGGCGGGAATACATCCAAACTCGGAACGTTGAGAGTCCAGCGATTCTCGACGCACGGGCCATTGCATATTGTTTGCGACCAAGCTCTGTTTACAGCCGCTCTGATGATCAATACTAGGCGCATCAATAACGTTTGCTAAGCATACTTACATACTTACATGAGTGGCGACATCGAGAAAAGCGGAAGTTCAGCCTCGAGAAAAGCGTTCGATTAACGCCGAATACAATCCTCCTTCGTCGACATTCTACTGTAGTACTGACGTTTTCCTTGATCTTCCTGCGACTATTCGCCGACCATCATCTCCTCACAGGAAATATGTCGTCCAGTTCATACAAGACGAGGTTCGCCGCAGGGCTCCTGCTCGTCGCCACGGCCGCTTCCCATCTGAGCGTCGGCCTAGCAGCGACGATCTCGGTTAAGCCTGGAGGCCTTCAGTCCGCACTCGACAAGGTAGTTATCGAATGATCGCGGATTGGTTATTCGTTATTTTCTCGTTGTTCTCGGTGTCGCCGGCATAGAAAGCAGAATGCCATCAATCAATATCTTGGTTGATATCATTTTTCTGCAAGCGCCCTTGTTAACCATTGCGAAAAACGTGGAAATTATTACCTCGAGAGATGGTCACGACTTTACCCTCTCACCTCCCCCATTAATTCGACATTGCAGGCTAAGCCGGGTGACACCCTTCGACTTGCCCCGGGAGAATACTGGGAGACGGCCGTCACCAAAACTGCCGGGTAAGTTCTTTTGACAGAGCTCGTGTTTTAGGGCGTACTCAGGATTCGCTCGATGAGGCCTTACCAATCAAACGTGCTGAAAGTATTGATCTATCTAAGGTTCGTGTTTGTGTCTCGTGGTGGTAGATATTTGATCCAGCCATCGCTTTCTGCATGACGGCTAAGTCTCCCTGCTGCCACCTTGACCATCCGTCCAAAACCCGACCAACAATGACAGTCGTGAGGATGCCTATATTACGATCGAGGGGGAGACGTACGGCGCTATCGTCAAGGGAGATCAAGACATCGACAACGATGGCTACGCCTTGAAGATCGAGCACTCCTACTACCGCCTTGACCGTTTCACCATCGACGGCAAACACAGCAAGAACAACTACATCGACAAGTGCCTGTACGTGCAGCAGAACCGCGACAACGACGACAAGGCGAAGAAGATCAAGTTCAACGGACACAAGTTCAGGTACGCTGCAGCATACTTCCCCTCATATTTTCTTGTATTAGGCATATAAACCACAATTGAACGTTTGCGGCCTTGGATATACTGCTGCCCGACACAGACAGTCCGTTTTCTCTATTCATGGTCGTTGATCTTCAGCAGAAGTCTCAACCGCGTCTGCGCAGGGCCTCCGCCCCTCTCTTCTCCAGCCATTGAAAATGGCTGTCTTGTTTGCTGGGTTACCATCGAATCCCAGCCGGACCCAACCACATGATGAGCAACGACGTGTCGATAAAGCTTCCACTCATAGACATGAGATTTCCGTCGACGGATTCCGTGCCCTCTCCACGGCCGTCTGTCGGTTTGGTTGCTCTCGAATACGACCACCGTTGTTGTAGGATGCAACACCCCGGCCGTGCACGGTCAAATTATTCAAATTGGTTCGAATCAAGCCCCGCCCTACGTCGGAAGTTGGATTGCCAAAAACAGCCAAATAATCCCCGTGAGAACTGTGCATTTTCACCCTTGCCCAACGGCGGTTCAGTCGAATAATATTGGCAAGAATCAGCGTTTGGCCAATTCTGTTTCCACCTCCCCTAGGCCAATGTGTTTTCCGCATCCAAACCAGGTACAAGCTTTGCCAAGACCTGTGAACATCTTGTCCAACAGAGCCCTGCTGTGCACTGTTCTCGCCAGTTCCTGATGTTGCAAAGTGCACCCACTCAAACTGTCCTGTTTGCTGCACGGACTCGCCTGCCCCAAGCAAGACCACGATCTTCTCGACTTCTTCTTTGCGAAGCAAACGGTTCCACAACGCGAAAGCCTCCTCCCCCTTACCATCTGGAAGTTTCCGCGTGCCTTAAGTATCCATCTGCCATCCGGACCCGGATCAAAACCTACAGCTCGACACTTCCACCTACCCTATTTCCTACCGCAGAATCGAAATAACCAATCCCTCGAGCAAAACGTACAACTGAGAGAGGGATACCTGGAGTACATTTATTCTCAATATATATGTGTGCCTGACACTTGACGCCGTCGTCGTACTCGTGCAGGTCTTCGATCAACGGGCTGGTTCTGTCCAACATGGACATCAACAACTGCGGTGGCGAGTGTGTCCGAATGCGCTACTTCGTCACCTACTCTCAGGTGCTTTGGATTCGGTTGCACCCGCCGATTCGAACGAAGATGCTCAGGATGATGCACTTCTCAGATTGTTACCCTGCACACACCACTTATATGCTAGCAGGGGTATCTGAAGCAAGCTAGCATAATGGAAGGGGATCTTTTGATCGTGCAAGTCATGCCTCAGCATCAACGCGTTGTTAATAGTAAGAGAGGTTTCACCATCATCAGAGCGTCTTGCAACGCATGCCAAATATACGTTTTATTGAAGTTGCATGTTGGACCAAACACACACACACGACACAAGACTTACCCATCTCATCAAACATGCGTCCAACCCGTATTTTTCTTGGCCAATCTCGATATGACCTTGCCGCCGTACAGGTTTACAACAACAGGATCACCAACTGCGGTACCCACGACTTCGTCATGGACGGCGGCTCCAAGAACGGCGAGGGGATTTACCTTGGTAAGGAGTGTCCCATGTTCCTTGATGCTTGTTGGTCTGCGTGAGATGACCGGCTGCTGCTGCTCTTGCGGTTCGTGTACGAGACTAGTGAAACGGTGGCAGACTTGAGGTGCTTTCTCGAAAGCTAAGAATAGTTGAGACGCGGTCCCGACTAGATCTCCGCCACACGAATTCCCCAAATGCAGAAGAGGGCTTGTCGTATTCACGACCGTTCACATGAACTCAACAAGCTAACTAATTAACGACTCGGTCGTGCCACGTGGAAACAGGGACCTCGTCAAACCAGTGGGATGATGGCAAGAACCCAAGCGACGAACCCGACGAAAGCAGCTACAACCACTTCTTCAAGAACCACTTCGACACACAGGTAGACCCTCCTCGCGGTTAGAAGCAGGTTTGGGTCCAATGAGGCGTAAAACGGGGACAAACGGCGGTTGCCGATCGAAATTCTTGGCACGCTGCGGCGTGCGCCTTTGAGCCACGCCCAACAACGGGTCGGACGATTCGACCAGCGCATGGCAGAATTACGCCGGCGTTCGAGTAAACGTCAAGTGCACAATTTCATATCGGGAATGATGCATGCTGTATCAATGCAACAAGAAAATCCTGATTTGACCACTTCCGCAAGAACATTGTCGGAACCTGATTAATCGAAGGACAAAAAACACGTGCCGTGGCGCCCGGGACTCGGAGCTTTTCAATGCCGGTTTCGTCAGGAACTTTCCTCACCAACACCACACGCCTTGAGCTGTTTGCTGTTCATTCGCATCTGTACGGGTTGCTTACTGCCGATGTCTGGCATAGTTCAAGGCGTCCCGGCTGTCTGATGCACAACTCGCTCGAAAACACGACCAATATGTCTGTCGCGAACAAATTCGTTCAAAGCGGCAAGCCGGTGGACGTCGAAGAGACATCCAAGTTCCGAGGCTATTAGACCAAATGACGCAGGGAGAAAAACACACTAGTAACATGGCAGGGCAGACATTGTCAAGATCATATCATTGGTCGGGGCATGGAGGCCAGTTGTGTTGCCAACTCTCATCATAAGCCACGGCTTCATCGACAATGCACCAATGAAACGTCACGCTTCTGCACCTTTCGAAACGAAACTGTCCAGGGTAACGAGGGGATCGACATCAAGGAAGGTTCCAGGTACAACATCGTCGAGGACAACTACTGCACCGGCCAAAAGGACCCGAACTCTGCATGTGAGGGAAAACTTTAGTACCGTATTTTCGATGTGGGACTTGCTATTGTGTTGACATCGGCTACACGTTGATGGCGAAACTCCGAAACATCTTGTGTCGATGCACACGCGAAGCAACACCACAGAAACAATACCAATGAGGTGTCGTCAAATTTTGCAGCGTGTCCGTGCAAACCTCAAAGCTAAGCTGCAGTGTTCGGTTTCCAAGTATATCGTATAACGGATTGACTTTCAATGGAGAAGTTGAACAGGAGAGTGACAATGAAGAGTTGAACTTCAACCTCCTACGGTTCGATTCGAGCTCGTATTCTACTTCCTTTTCGCACTCGTTGGCGTGAAACTTTCAATCGTCCTGCACGGTACGCCTTAGACTTGAGGTTTTTGATGGACGGTCGATTACCTCCTTCAACTACCCGTTTTTGTCTGCCGTAGTCAGGCATTCCTACGTACAGAAACTCAAATGTCTTCCGATTCAACGCGACGCCATTCATCCGACAACTACAAGCGGAGAAAAAAACTGCGTTCGGCTAGCCTGCTCGTTGCTACTCACCTCAGACAATGCTTGTCTGTTGAATCTAACTCGTTTGCTACCGCCACACCATTTGTTGGGCACGCCACCACGATTCCGCCGTAACCGGTCAAAACAAAACCGGCCGATGATATCGACTCTTTCATCAGGCTCGTGTATAGAGAAAATCACAGGTCTTTGACCTCGTCTCATACGCCCTCATCTTACGCTATCGCCACTGTGCGATCCACTAGGCCTCGACGCTCGCGGCGATTCCAACATCTTCCGGTTCAACACCTGCGAGGACAATCTTGGCGCCGGCATCCGCATCGGGGGCCACAAGATCGACGGCCACCAGTACGGCCAGAATAACGAGGTCTACGAGAACCTTCTCGAGAACAACGATTACGCTGGCATCAAGATCACGGTAAGAGCCCCCCTCGTTATCCAAGCTCTCATCCTGTCGACACCGATGCGCTTGCTCTAGAAACCACAAGCAATCTATGCCCCCCCCAGGTTCGCCATCGGGATTGAGTTGTTGTCGCTAGGCAACGACGTTGTAAAACAAGACGATGACTTCGCGCGCGCTCGGCAACCCGGCTACCTCGTAATTTTCTTGCCTTTGTCGGTTTCTTTTTGCGGTAGCCATAATGGTGGTCGAGCAGATGATGATGTACGGGGTCGAGAACCCCCCACTCCGCGCAAAGGGGATGATCGGACAACGTTGCGTGAAGTTGGTCAAGCACCCTTGAGGCAGTTACACGGTGCATATCTCTGCCTCTGGAAGCGAAGGCACCAGAAAAATAGTGAAGCCACTCGCATCTCTAATCCGTATGGCAGTAAGAATGCACAAGATGCCGAACGCCCTTAACAGGATGCAGCGCACCCTCCACGCGACTCGCCGAATAACTCACGGCGCTTCGCGGTTGGTGATGTGAGAGCCTGGCCCGGTGATAACCCGGCGTGCTCCGTCCCTGCTTTGTAGGGACGCGAGGTCAATGGTCTAACGACTGCCTGCGGCATGCACGAGTATGAGTACACTCCCCTCGAATCAACATCTGCTGCGTCCATAGCGCCCTTAACCCACACCAAGAGTCACAAAAGTAGCTATCAGGTCCATGCCCATCTGAAGCATAGTTCGTGAAACGCCTCAGAGTATCAACTGCGACCCATCCCACCATTCCTCGAGCGGTTGATTTGTCACTGATGGGGTTGCCGTGGTGTCTCTCTCGCTCACACCGAGCACATACGCAGTACCAACGAAGTTCGACAGCAGGCAGCACAAGCCGTGTTTCTTGAGACACGTGAACGAATCGCGTGTTTTACGGAAGGGTTGAGAATTCCCGGCCCCCTTGACCTTTTTCTCGTAGAAAATGCTGTGACACAAACATCTTTCAAATTGTTTCTCCATGGTCGCAATAGTTGCCAACCATCGATCATGTTCTTGACCACGACCGCATTTGTAACGCCATTCCAGATGAGCCCTCAAGGGGCAGTGTGCAGCAACGATATCCTGGGAAGCAAATACGACAGTAGGGGAAGCAGCTACGCCGAAAAGCTCAGCCCTGAGGGCAGCTGCGAGAAGCTGAGCGGCGACCTCTCAGGTGGGGACCCTACCACCTCTGCGCAGTCGCTCAAAGCATTTACCCACATAATTTAAGAGGACTACTACTGTAGTCTACATATGTTGTTGCACATAATATATTCTGTATCCCCGATGTCCTGGCTCTCCGATGAACAGCCGATGACTGCAGCGATTGCCAAGACGTGAAGAGGCTTGAAACGGAACTTAGGGACGCCAAGAGGAAGTGCAGGAAGAACAGGGGGGAACGCAGGGGGGAACGTGCCGAGCTCGACCTGCTCGAAAACGACAGCAAAAACAACGACAGCGACAGCGACAGCGACAGCAGTGACAGCAGTGACAGCAGCGACAGCAGCAGCGACAGCGACAGCGACAGGTGAGTGTTCAGTGGTCGTTGTGGCCACTTTTCGCGTTGTTGTGGGTGATTCTTCTGTTCTTTGACTCCCAGCAATAAAATCTATCGAGTCGGTGGCGCGTAACAGTCGCTTTCTTTGCCGCTTGCTGTGCGACTGGGGCGTGCGTATCGTACATGGGTACAGCCAAGGGCAACGGAAGAGATAAAAATCATCAATGGAATTACTGTACCACCAGAAGGAGGCCACTGCAAGAAACCGAAAAACAAACGTGTTTCCGAATACACGGAAAAGCCGATTTCAACTCTCTGAAAAAGTCACGTTCGCCGTTCTCCCCGCGCTCGCATACTTCTCATCGACGGCGGCAAAAAGGATCAATATTTCGGCGTAGGGACGACGACCTGAGGGGCGCTCACGTACTCTTTGGCATTGTTGCTTGAGGAAGTGTTGTCTTCACTGTGCTGCGAAAACAATCAAATCCGGCTCCTAATCACAACAAACAGAGGATGCGACCAAGCTTATACCCAAAGTCATAACTCACGTGCCAAATATTGTTGAAAATGTCGGATACGCTCGGCCGTTTTCGTGGTGGGAAACTCTTTCAAACACGACTATTTCGTTGAATACCCGCCGGAATAAGAAAAAAAACTAAATGTTGACATTAAAGGAGAAGCTGTCCGTACCAAAAGAGACCATTGAACGTACCGCCATTAATATAAAAATGGGAGACTACGATAAGAGGACTCTTCTCTCAACTATGTACATACATACATGTACAGTAGTACCGCGCCAGCCCTTTGTAAAAATCGTCTGGAAGATTTAGCCGTACTGAGACTACGAGTTCAGCATTTTCATATTATTGGCGACTTCGAAGGTGGGATAATGTCGTCTTTGTTTCGACCATAGCACCGACGACCCGTTCCCAAGAAAACGTGTCATGAGTGTCCAATCGCAATATTTCCCCCGAAAAACATGAAATAAAAGACACTTCACAATTTTTGTGCGGTGGATCCTACATTTCATCCTGTACGGAAGCCTTTGCTCGGGCTACGAAATATGAAATTGGGCCCAGACCCGAACTTGATGATTCATGTTCCGTCCGGTGCGTTGTAGGCCACGGTAACACCGATATGCCTTGTTCAATGGGTACCTGGATGAGAAGGACCCAAATTGGTTATCGCCAACTGAGATAGGCTGCACGGAATGCACAGTCGTTGGCTAGTCGAACCGACGAGTTGTTTGCCCACCGTTGCTGGCGGTTTCCTGTCCGCCCGGGCTGAGCACACAGACGTGTGAAGCGAAACACTTTTTCTTTTCGCACAGAATCGGTGGTGATTCACGAACACCCTCTTTTCCTCGACGTCGTTCCTCGAAAAACTGGAAAAGAAAATGTCTAACACGAACGGCGATGGAAGGGACGTCTCGGCCCCATTCATTGCTGATTGTCATCCCATCGGCCCGAATCAAACCACAGTCACTTCCAGGAGATAAGAGTGTGTTTGGAATGTGGTGTGGTGTGCCTGCAAGTGATAACCTTGAGATCGCCGAGACTGACCTTAACTTACCGCGGAAACCACACCCACCCACCGTGCGCGCGACGGATGATGATGTGGCCGATGACTACGGTAGTGACAGTGACAGCAGTGACAGCAGCGACAGTGACAGCAGTGACAGCAGCGACAGCAGCAGTGACAGCGACAGCAGTGACAGTGACAGCAGTGACAGCGACAGCAGTGACAGCGACAGCAGTGACAGCGACTCCAACGACAGGTGTGATTAACAAAACCTGTCGGCAATGAAGTCATTGTCGGATCGAGGCTCAGTTTCATTTTTATCGTAACCTCTGTTGAGCAGAGACTAGCCAATGAACCGTAGGATCCACCTCTGAGCTGCGTTTCTTTACCCCACTTGCATATTTTCGTATACGTGTGACCCTTTGTATCTTACAGTACGTGGACTACTTCTTGCGCCTTTGTTTTGTGAGGGAAACTCGAAAACCCCACACAACGAAACATCACTGAAAACATGGTCCCTGAAAGAGCGGTACCAATTTCACTTCCTTCCCCTCCGAGTTCGTGATCAGTTTTTCGAGGGTATACAAGTCTGCGATAAGCTCTATCGACACACAACAAACCACGATGGCTGCTTACTGGGGTCGCTCTCATGTAGGTGGCCATGTGGCGACACGCCATGGCCAGATCACGTTGACCCGTCCCCACCTCTGCACTGATGTTTGAATCTTTTTTTGTCCAACACTATGTATGACTGACCCACCACAAATCAACATGAAACTGTTTCTTAGCCACTAGTGGCAAGCCAGATCCTTTCGACAACACCGACCCGACAACGTCCACATTCCGTGTCCTTGAGGGCGATTCCTTCCCATCCATTGACGAATAGATGAACCCCGGATCGTGAGCGACAGAAACCTCTCGAGGGACGACGTGTTGCAGCCAAGCTTTCTCGGTCGTTTCGGTCGATTTGGTCAGCCGTGGCCGACAAAGAGGGCAATCTTTCAACTCCATGGTTCATTGCTGCATTTTTGCTTGGCCTCGTGTTTCGAGCGGGGTGACAACCGGTCTCGATCTATCGATCTCCTTCGCCCGATAACACAATTAGAATATCACGTCTGACGTACGGGGGCCTCATTTCTGCTTACGATTCTGTCGCCTTTCCGTATGAATTTCCTGGGCCCTTCTTCTGTGATTTTTCATGAATTGTCAACATTGTTTTCTTGGGGGCACGCTGCTACAACAGCCTGTCATCAACGTACATCGACCAGTGGCGGATGTTGAAGGGTACTGGGCATTGATCCGACGCTATTCCAATGTGAAACAACAACTAACAGCATGTAAATAATGCGACAGGAACATCGTTCCCTGGATGCACCCATCCGTACGGTAACAGATACATATCCCATATATTTACTGTAGGTCGATGGCCGATATTGTGGCGGTCGATCTCGACCCCCGGGCTGGCCAAACTGTTAACGACGGAGTTGTTCCCACAACGAGAAGCATGCTTCACAAGTTGAACCGAAGAGTCTTCGGAAAGTTGTTGATGATGGCGATGACGACGATTATCAAGAAGTCGAAAAAGGTAACGACCTCGACACTAACACACGACCACCACCTGTGCCAACTTCAACTTTTAGCAGCGACGACAAGAAGAAGGACAGCTCCGACAGCGGCGACGGGGGCGAAAAGCAGGAGAGCGATGGTACGTATATAATTGTCCTGCTGGCATGTTCCACCGATTTCCGGTTCACAGGTTCACACGGTTGCAGTTGAATTAATTTGTCGTCGGGTTCGCCGAACATCACAACAAAGATCACTCATCCTGGCGTGATATTGATGTGTGAGGATGCTTGCTGCCGACAAAAGTGAGATATCAAAATGAGATACGACCGGGACCGGGAGATCAGGCCGTACAACCACAAATAGTCTAGATGTGAAACGTTTTTCGACCTCTTGTTTCACCGATTTGGACGCGAGTGTACTCACCTTTTCGTGTTAAGAGCTGCGACATGCTTGAACGGCTGTGGTATCGTCAAGCTCCAATCAATACTCAAAACATGTGCAAAGGACGGGTACGTCTACCGGCCTCCCTTTTGGTTTGTAACTGTTGAGGGGGTTGGAGTCAGAGAAGATTGAAAAAATGGTCATCGCCCGCTTCGTAGAACCGAAAGAATTTTCTTACGCAATCATCCTGTGTACCTCAATATGCTGGCACATGTACATGTAATAGCTCAACTCCAGGAGCATGGCGAGCTGTTCCCGGCGTGTATGTCGGACCGATTTCAGAATTGTGGCCTGAAAAAAATGAAAGCCCATGGACTAACCTATTGCGTTTCTGCCGATGCCCCGTCGCGCGTTTGCTTGTTGCACGTTTGTTTGCGTGTTCGGCTGTCCGCAGACAAGGGAGCCCATGTGGTAAGTCCTTTCAAGCAGGAAATTTGGATTTGCTGTATGCCATCGTCGGATCGAAGAACTTGCGCCGTTACCCATTACGTGCTGTGTGAAATATCACGGTACCCGGCTCACAGCCCACCAGTCCTTCCCATACATACTAAACTATCAACCCCCCCAACCGTGTGATCTGTACCATTGCTTTGGCCGGCACTGAAATATCCCGCCTTGACACCGAATTCATTGATATGCTGGTCTGCGCACATGAAATCATTGACCAGACCGGGCGCATCATCGAAGAAACCAAGCAGAGCGAGAGGGCCCAGCACCCGACCGTCGAGTACCCCAAGTACACCGAATTCGTGCCGCCCACCATCTAAGCGTCGGCTTTCTTCATCTCGCCAAGCTCCAGAAGACGATCATGTTTCACACGGGGGACCAGGAGCTTCGGAACCCTCACCATCCCTGCACTCATCATATATCCTTGTTGGTCCTTGTACAGTTTTATCATATTCGCGAAACAATTGGATGTTGCAGTTAGCTGTGTTTTCGCCTGCAGAACGTTTTGTGAACGCAACTCGGCCAGAAATTAGCGAAATAGAGTCTTTGTTGTACCATGTATTTCGATATCCACACAACCAAACACTGTGGCCGAAGGACACGTACATTGTTGTTCACTTGACAACTTGGTATTGGAGGGCATCAATCCGCGCCAATTGTTGGAAGGGGAGCTTAGACGCTCAACAGAAACAGTTCAGGGTCGGAGTCATGGACCTCAGACGTTGACTCGCTACTAACGCGGGCTAGACTAGAGTCCGGGAGTGTCGAGGCTTTGGACAATCAATTTTTGGTTACAATGGAGTCTCTCGGGTGGCGTCAGAATACATAATTTTTTGTAAGTAGCGTGTAGAGAGGCGACTAGCCTACTGGGGTTTCCTCCACAATAATTCTAACATTATGTATCTATAGACATTCAACCTTTCGTCGAAATATTGAATGAAAGGCGTACATCGCAAGGAATACCAGAAGTACACACGTCATCTGACAGATATGGGTGTTCGGGGGCGGAATGGGCCGGGACTGGGGGATGGTAGGCGAAAAAAGCTCTTTGATTTCTTTTTCCGGCTAGCCCGAGGAGGGTTGGGGCGCGGGGGGGGGGGTCATGACCGTGCATACGTCGTCTTTCGGCGTTGGAAATCGAATATCGGCGAAGTCGGAGAGGGTGGCGAGTACCTCAGAGTGCAACAAAAAGTAGGTGGGGGCGTTAGTCATAGATAGCTGTTCTCTGGCTTTAGTACGTATAGGCATCCGATTTGTCTGTTTCTTTTCTTTGAAAATGTTGGCTCTCGATCAACGACGTCCTAGTCCGAGATCCGTCTTACACGTTCGAACCGTGTCCCCGACCGCCACCGCATGAAGGATACGAACGTATGCACTCTTGGGGCATTCATACACGGGGGTGGTTTGTATGGTGTGGTATGGTGACAATGGCGAGGCGGTGCGGATCCTCGCAGAGTAGCGCAGAGAGACGGGGCACTCGGGCATGACCCAAATTTCCTTGCTGAGGCTGTAGAGTGATCGTAAACCGCAAGCACCCGCGCGGCGAAGGGGGGGTAGCAGGGAGCGACGTACGAAAGAGATGAAGGCATTGACATTGTTCTACAAAGTCTATCTTTGTTTTTGGTACGCACGCATGAGATTCGTTCTTTGAAGACGTCGTGTAGGCTCTCGATAGGGGATCGGCGGCTAGGCATCCAAACATGTGCCGAGATTCGTCTTTTGTACAGTAGAATCATATCCCCAATGGGGTGACCCTCACCGCACGAAGGACACGACCGTACGCACTGTTTTGGTGTATTCATACAATGGGGTGGTTAAAATGGTTTATTGTAGTAAGGGGCGGTGTGGATCCAAGCAGAGGTGCGGCGGGACGGGGCATGCGAGCATGGCCAAAAAGCTCGTTGCCGAGGCTCTCCTACACTGATCATTTACGACCGAAGTACCCTGGGTGGAAATGAAGGTCCCAGTTTCCGAATTGAGCGACGTCCACAGTTTAGTCGCTCTCTTGACCGTCAGTAGTGTCGTGCCCTGGTTCTTTCCCGACATGCATGTAGCATCTATTTGTTGTCTCATCTCGGCAGACAACTGGTCTCACCTAGACCGCGTGTAGGTTTTCCGTTGCGACTTGTTGGTTGCGCGTTTCACTCTCCTCGACTTCCGTTGTGATATATCTTGAATACTACTACACTCAGCTGTGTTTGGTGGATGGATCATATGGTGAATATCCTGGAGAATACCACGCGGTTTCTGACACGTATTCCTCTTTCTCCGTGGCATCGGTGGCCCATGCCCCAGGCTCAACGTAACCTACACCTTGCTCACCCATGGGCTATGGATTGTTTCTTTCGAGAGGTCCAAAGCGACCATTTCGACTCTGGGTTACATACGTCGATTGGTAGGTGTCGAGTTCCACGGGGGGATCAAACATTTTTTTAGCGGAGGGAGATCAAACATTTCGAGCGGACATGGACGGACATGACCTCCCTGTTGTCGGCTTTTCCGTAAAAAAAAATCAACTACATATATATCAAGTTGGTCCCGACTCTCCGTACGAAATCGCTAAGCAAACCGTTGTCTAGCTTGGTCCGTACTTTTATTATCTTCCTCCGTGTAGTGGTCTTCCATGAAAACCCAGAGAGGATACTGTTTTGGCAAGTTTGCGGTACTGTCCAGGAGCGACGAAGGAGTTTACCCCCGCGCCCCGAAGTGCCCCAAACCTTGAAGTGCGATGAAGGTGTGTGAGGTGCACCTGATGGAATATGCCGCTACAAGACCAAAAATAAACACGGAAGTAAGCAAGCGCGAAAGACAAGCCTTATCAAAGGAACACAGCAAAAGGAGAGGGTGGAAGAAAAAATTGAGAGTGGCCTATTCTTCCTGTGCGACCCCGGCTGGTGCGTCCAGCATGGCACCGAAAGGCGTACTCTAGTAGGGACGAATAGAGCTGCCACCGCCACACGCAGACTAGACTTGAATAATACTTTACCCACCTGGACTACACGAGTGCTCCCAATTGACTTCTTCTTGTAATAACCGTTTGTCATGACGGGTCTACATACGGTATATGTAGATTCGTAGCGGGTTGATGTCAATGTCAACACGTATGGAGTCTTTTTTTTTTTGTGTGTTAAATGGCGATGATTTCCCCCCTGCAGGAATCCTCTATGGCTCTGGATCTGGTGGGGGTTGCGAGCGCTCATTCATCCAGTGGATGACCTAATGTATGCTCCTTGTACATGCTGTTGTTGATTGTGCACTGTCTTCTGGTGCATCAAACACCTAAAAAAAATCTCAAGTACTGTAACTCGGGTGAAGGGCTTGATTTTCATAGCACGACCGTGCAGACCCCCGCAACACCTCGGGTTTTGCACAGGGTATGAAGCGTTTGACTTGTCCATGGCAGAGCAATACAAACACGGTGATGCTCTGCAGCTCAAATCACCTGACGGCTCGGTGTCTTGTCCACCTAGTCAGTAAACCTAGGACAACTTGCAACCAAAAGAAGTGCAGTGTAGAGCACGGTTGGGTCGTACAAAAATGCGTTCGTTCCGTTGGTATCCCATCGTTCTTACAAAGCTGCCCACCCCTTCCGGCGTGACCAACGGAGCCGCCCGAAGCATGCATCGTGTTAGGCGATGTCATGTTGCCAGGGGAGATTCACTGCCGCACTACGCTACAACATCTCCAGCCACCACGAAAATGAATGAGTGCACACATATAACAGCGATGTCGCTCCATCGAAGCTGATATGTGTTTCATCTTTCTTACGCTAACCGAACAACCCTACTGCTACCGCTACCATAAACAAAAAATAAAAAAAAGGGCACGTAAGTACCACTAACACCTCATGAGAGACGATATTTCATCGTCTGTCACGCATCCTTAGCCTTGCCCAGGAAAAACATACCAAAACGCCTACAACGGCAGAGGGCACCTCGGAAGTATTTACAATGCTGGTTATACGCGCCGATGTCATATGCACTCATCGACAGATAGCGAAGGAAGAGGTGAGAACCGTTGCCCCTCTCAACCAAAGCCATGCATCTCACAAGAGTCATAAAAGGCGCGCCAGCCTCTCCGTGCCAAAGGGACTCGCATCCACGCACAAAACAAACGAAAGCACCACACCCAACCCGCCTAGACCACAACCTACCCAACCCAAACGGAAGCTGTTTCTCCGGATATATCGGACCCTGTGGGAAGCCTCACGTCAACCGCATGCCATGTACAGGCCCGACCCCACACACAACAGGTTCACGTCCTTATCAAACCAACATCCGACCAACAGATCCTAAGGAAACACACACCGTCATACTGGCGGTCCATTTCATACTCTCGTCGACTACTTTTGGACATCTGTTCTTGGTTCTCTTGGCCTCACCCATTTCTGCGAGGGTGCCTCGACATCGCCGCCATCGGCGGCCAAGAAACAAAAAAACTTGCACAATTTGCCCGTCTGTCTCGCGACAAACGCTCTCTCCTATTCCGCACCAAGTCCAGCAGTATCAGGAATGCGCAACTGGAACACAAAAATGAAATTCTATTGCGTGTGACTCTTGCATATCGGGGCAAAACAATCTACCGCCGAAGAAACAAACGGATCCTCGACTGGATGTGTACGCGCCAATACATTTGGTCTTCTCGGGATGTGCCCGCGCTCTCGCCGCCACTTTAGGGCAAACGTCTGAAGGTTTGATATAATGGTGGAAAACACGTATCAGGCGCCACGTCCGCATATGCCTGTACCGCCCCTGGCCCTCTCTAAGTCTATGTTCAGAGTTTATCTCTAGCCGAAATCTGGGGCACGTGACAAAAAAAAAAAAAATGGTCTATGCGCCTCTCTCTCTCTCTCTCTCTCTCTCTCTCTCTCTCTCTCTCTCTCTGTCTCTTTATCTCTCTCTCCTTCGACCTGATTGCGGAGGTGAGGGGCATTTGAAGTGCGTGTGTCTCGTCAACCACACCATCTCCAGCGACGGGGAGCAATTCACACCCGGCAGGAAAACAAGTTCCCTACCATCATTCCCCAAGTGATACTCAACGAGGAGGCATGCGTCCTAGCAAAAATCTTCAAGAGGCACCCGTCGAAAAATACAAATACACCTCATGAAAAACGGGCGCCACTTCCGATCCCCTTCCAGGTGCACCACCATCATACATTGGCAAACCACACAACTCCCGGCCGTTCAAAAATAGAATTTCTTCACTCCCAACAGAGAAGAAAGAGAGAAAACACAAACGTGCTGTCTCCTTGAGAACTCGTTGCCCACGCAGATATGTTATATTCCCAATACCGAGTGGATGGGATATATGCGTGTACGCTCTGTATTGCCCCCTTTCTTCAGTCTCTCGGACGGATATATGACCCAAAAGCACATACCCCGGTCGGGGGGGCAAATAGACAACAGCGCCCGCAATAGCAAATCAACCAATCCATGGCCTTGAACCATCAAACTGTGTACGCAAGAGCCCTCGAGCACCCCCGAGATACTCCCAAGTCAAATCTACATGTGCGGCACCGCATGAATCCAAAATTTACCACTTAACTACATGTGGAACGGAAGCCCTTCCCTTCCCTCGTCCCCAACTCGTTTTTCCACACCCTATCTACTATCTACCTGTTTCGACTCGAGCACGGTTAGGGTTCGCCGTCATTTCCTCCGGAAAGGTCACGGACAAAACGACAGCAAACCTTACGCCGCAACGGATACCCGCTTGTCCTCCTCCACCCGGCCGTCGAACACGGGAGGCGGGGCGCCAGACAGGGTGGCAGTGGGCGCGGACGCGCGGACCGAAGCGCGACCCTCCGAGGGCCAACACCTGCTACCGCTGCCGCTGCTGCCGCTGGATGGACCACCACCGCTGCCCCCCCACAGCGATGGCGAAGGCGACGGCGAGAACGCCCCGGTGCTGGCGGCTTCGACCGCCACTCTCGAGGAGTCGTAAGAGTTGCCGCCGAGGAGATGGTGGACGGCGGCCGCGGCCGCCCGCTTGGCGTAGACCGTCGACCCGGGGATGGAGCCCGAGCCAACCCCGGCCCAGTTGCCGTACCTGGAGGGCGTCCATACGGCGGAGGGGGTGGGTCAACTTCTTCGATGCAGATTCGTGAAACATTTGACGCAGACTGGTGATACTGCGGTATGCGTGGAGCGGGGTACGTGTGATGCTGCTTGCGCTGGCTGGCTCAAAACCTCGTTCTGATGTTTTATCAATGACGTGCTGTCGGGGAAACTGGGCAGCCCTCTACGCAATAGAGCGTGGAGGGGAATGCGAAAGGGTCCATGCGTTGATGGTGCGTGAGGAACACCTTCGTCTCATGCTTCGAGCTTTTCTGACAGCATTGAACACACAAACAAAGTCTTCTTTTGAAAATACTGTGAATCCGGAAACTGGACCCCGTCCTACAAAAGCCTCCTCTGCATCCCCCCTGTCAGGAGAGCCTCACAGCAGATAAGACACTATCCATGTTCGCGTTTTTCTTGTCCCGCTACAAGGCTGACGTCTGTTCATTCATCGGCCGGTGAGCGCGGCCCATGCCCTTCACCAAATACACGGGCACTGACGCCTACTTTCATTGGCCCACGAGGGAGCGCGTTCGATTGAAAAAACAAGAGACCCATCCAAGCACATAGTGGTCAGCCGGTTTGCACGGTCGATTCTAAGAAAGAGAGAGAGAGACACACACACACGACAGAGAGAGAATAACGAGCACACAAACACAACCAAAAACTATAAAAACTCTCCATACATCTGCTGTACTCAATTTAGAAACATAAAAAACACACTCACCCCACAGCGAACACTCCTGGGACCTCGGTCTCCCCCATCTCCCTCCCGTCCATGCCTACCGTAGAGTTCGGGCGGACGAGCCCGAGCCGCGACAGGTGCGACGTGTTCGACCGGTAACCAGTGCACCAGATTATGGCGTCTACGTCTGCGTGCCCGCCCGGAATGCTCCCGTCTTCGGACGCCTCCCACGCGACCCCCGTGGGCGTGAGGCGCGCGAGCTTGGGGACGCGCTGGTCGTAGACTCCTCGCTCTGCCGCCTCTATCACGCCCGGCTGCATGATGATGCTGTAATGTAATGGAGGGGGTGCAACGAAGGTGTGGGGGGCACGTCAACTAGATGTACACGTCGATGGCGCGTTGAGGAGACGGGGGTAGCGAGTTTCGTGAAGATGAACGGACGCATCATCGTCCGCTGTATCATTGCGTGTCAACGACTGGCTCTCCACAACACCGGCACATTTTCCGGGAGATGGAGGAGGGGGGGGCGTGGTCCTTTCCAGTATCATGATACGATGGTCCACTACACTACACTTGGATAGCAAATTGGGGGGTGCTTCAGTGCTTAATTTTTCTTGAAAGAAAAACAACGCAGAAACTTATCGCGTTAATCGCACAACCGTCCGTGTGGTTGAGTTAATTGTTGGTTCCCACCTGTGAAGGGAGGGGATGTCTTCCTCTCGCACGAAGCCTTGCTTTTGCCTCAGCCGAGCAACTGTCACCCGAAAGAGAGAAAGTAGGTGACGATGAGGGGAGGTTTGTAAGGACACGGGACGTGCGACACAGCCACCATCGTATTGAAAGAGGCAGGCGTCAAGCCGGAGGGACACCGCGTACCGTGCATGCTCATGGCAGTGGGGTTTCGTTGGCGTCCTGCGCGCGAGAATGAGAAAAACATGTACTTGTCAGTTACAGCCGTACCTCTGTGCGCACGATTCCTCCGCGTTCTAGAGGAGGGAAGATAATTCCCCCGGTACATACACACTACAGCAGACATGTTTCCCTTCTCTTACCCGTGTCGAAAATCTCCTTGCCCGAGAGCCCCATCGGCAAGAACGACGGCGCCGTCAGCGTCGACCACAGCGTCGACGACGCCACCCCAGGCGCGGACACCTCAGCCAAGATCTGGGCGCCGCTGTTCCCGGAGCCGACAACGGCCACCTTCTTCCCCCTGAAGTCGTCGGCGAAGCGGTACTGGCTGCTGTGGATCTGGGTGCCGCGGAAGGTTTCCCACCCGGGGAGGCGTGGCCACACCGGGGACGCGTGAGTACCGGCCGCTGTGGGGGGGATCGGCGGGGCGAGAGGGAGGAGACAAGATGTGCAGGGAGGGGGTGACGCGGTCAGTACTGTATGGGGGTACATTGTTTGACGATCATCCGGTGGGATATCTAGATACTCTCCAACACACGCATGTACGAAACCAACGTTTTTGTCATACCCTTGGAGGGCGGAGATGACTGATGTCTGACCTTGACCGGCAAAGGCCAGCACTATTTACGATAATCGCAGGCGGGCAGGGCACCGGGTTTTTCTGCATTTCTGCCAGCAGCGGGGTGTCCCAACTCCTCACCCCCCCCCCTCCCCCCTGGGTCAATCCCGTGGACCAGGGGAAGACGAATATTGAACTGGAAGACACCTATGTACACACACACGAAACGTGTGTACATCTACCGA